ATATCAAAGAGGGCTCTTGGTTGAAGTCGTCCAAGAAAAGTAAGGCCGAGAAGGAGGCGCCGAAGCCTTCTAAACGATGGAACTTCTTCCAACGTGCCCATGCCGGACCACGCGCTCCGACACCAGCTGCTCCTACCGCCAGCCCTTCCAATCAAGCAACTGTTTCTCGCTCTGTCGCACACTACGCGTTGATGGACCAGTCCGGGCTTGAATTGGACGACATTGAGCAGTTGATGCAGGAGGTCGATGAGGGGACTGAGAGCGCCCTCTCCGATGACGAACCAGGAAGGAAAGAGCGAATGCAGTCCATGCTTCTCCCACCTAAACCAGTGTTGCCATCTACCCTGGCAGCACCCCGCTCGGCTTCGCCCAAGGTCTTTCTACGCTCCGAAGCACAACAACAACCGGAACAGCAACAGAGCAAGTTGAGTATCGACACGAATGTTCGATCGGTTTCCCGCAACTCTGAGCGTTACTCGCTGGGTGATCTAACTCCCGTTACGGACCTTTCTCGACCTTCATCACCGTTCCATGAACCTTCGCCGATGCGCGACGAAGGTTCTGCGCCGCCACTGGATGTAGCAGTTCCACCTCGCATGCCCGAGCCCGAACAAGAGTCGGTTCACGATGCACCTACTGAAGAAGAATTTGTCCTACCTCAGAATCTTCCATCGCCTGGTCCGCCGCCTACGAGCCCACCCCCTCGCCCAAGTCGCTTGGCGCAAGTTGGTCGTATCCCTCAGGTCGTCTCTAGTCGTCGTCAGGCACCTCGCCCGTCTTCACGTTCATTCTCTCGTCCTTTTGTGTCGAACCAACCTCGTCCAGCAGCCCCTCCACGAACGTCTTTCGATTCCATAGGATCTGTTGTCGCAACTGCTGGTCCGGTGGAGCCATATCCTATTCTACACGGTCTAACCGCTCTGACCCATGGATCGGCTATCGCTACCATCAGCCCTATGGAAGATGAAGCCAACCGTCGAAGCGAGTTCTTCAAGTTCCCACCTCGTAAAGACTCCGAGGTATCCTACTCAAGTAGCTCAGGTATCTGGAGCTTTGCACCTGCTGCTGGTACCGCTGTCGTACCGAGTCCTAGCGCGCCGCTCTCAGATGATGAACTCTGGAACGAGTATGACGACCTGATCGACCAGGTGCTCTCGCCTGTCACCTCTCACACGAAGGAAGATAACAACAGCCTTCGCAGTCACCCTTCTCTCGAGCCAATGCCTTTGAGACCCAAAGCGCCGCGCAACTTGTCAGGATCAGACAACGATGAGGTTGCAAACCCCTCACTTCATCTTCGTCGCTCTCGTCTGCTTGCTGTTCTACACTCAACACAGTCACCTACTTCGTCGATCTCTTTCTCGGAATTCATATCTGACTACGGCGAGCGCAAGATCAGCGTCATTGACCCTGTTACCGGTAGACTGAGCTTGCCTTCTAGTCCTCAGCTATCGGCTGGGACTGCTACAAAGCGTTCAACTCGCTCCAGTCTCCCAGCCTCGTTGTCGCAGAGTGCTCGACAGTCCAAAGCCACCATTGCTTCAAGGTCCAGCAAAGATCGCGACAGTGCCAGCACCACCCATTATCGCGACACGCGTATGATGGACATTGCCGAAAGCCAGGCGGATGGGCTCTTGTCGATGGCAAACCTCCGCTTTGGCGCTCTCATGACGAGCAAGTGGCTCTCGTTCGGACGCGTCTTGTTCAGCCCCGTGCACTTTGAATTGAAAGACCCAAGCGAGGACCGCGTACTTGTCATCGATGGTCTTGGCAAAGACTGGTCTTACTACTGCGCACTTACATACCCTGAAGCGACTGTCTATGACATGGGCCCCGATCCATCACCCACTGCATCAACCGAGGGCGCTTCTGAGCCGTTGTCAACACTCAGCAACCACCGCCACATCTACCACCCTTCCCTCGGCAAGGCTTTCCCGTTTCCCATGCACTTCTTCGCTTGCGTCGTGCTTCGCTTCCCAACTGCACTTCCCTCATCCGAACATCGCTTCATCCTGTCTGAGGCCAAGCGCGTCCTTAGACCTGGTGGGTACCTTGAGTTCTCAGTCCTTGACATGGACCTAGTCAACATGGGCAACCGTGCTCGTCGCGCTGTCCGTGGGCTCAAGATGAGGATGCAAGTAGCAGATGAAAGCATTTCGCTTCGCAACATCAGCGACGAAGTCATGGCTGGCATCGGGCGCAAGGGTTTTGTTGAGTGCAATCGCTGCGTTGTCGGCGTTCCGGTTGCCGGCAAGCTACCCAACCTCGATGACGTCAAGCAGAACATCACGAAGAGGAAAGGCAGCACGGCAAGCTCTTCCAGCAAGACAAACAACAACATCCCCGTACCAAAAGGGCCCAAGCCCGAAGTATCTTTCTCCGATCTGCTCAACGCCACCTCTTCCTCCGAGTCGAATGACAATGGTATTACCGATATGGTGGCGCGCGTAGGTCGATGGTGGTACTCGCGTTGTTATGAGTCGCTCGTCCTACCTGAGGCCGGCCAACCTGGCGCCGCTGCTTCCGGCAACCTCCTGGAGACCAGTATCTGGCGCGACCAAAGCCTCATCAACGAGTGCGAGAAGCGCGGCACTAGCTTCAAACTCCTCATCGGCTACGCAAAGAAGCCCGAGGTAGGCGTCCGACGAACCGTCAGCGTCTAAACATCATCTTCAATTCTTGCGAGCTGCGCTCTCACAGTCCTGGTGGCTATTTCCTTCACTACTACTCATAATGAGTTTCTTGTATTTATGGGTTTCACTGGCGTTCTGCTGCGTTCAAGCGTTTGACTTTCCCTTATACCCTCGTTCTGTTCTTCTTTCACTCAGCTTGCATAGCAAAATGGCGGCTTAGCATTACAACAACAACTACAAAGAACGGCGCAAGCCTGGACGCATCATCACGACAACGACACGCACGCATTTATGTAATATCTTCTACGACTGGGTTGGCACATGCTGGCATTGTGTAGAACAAGAAGAGAAAGATGTGATGATTGTTCTATGTAAGAGGGAGGAAGCCCTGTATATATACTACTAGGGCGACGCTAGTGAGTGAATCACGTGATAGGATCCTAACCAACACATTGGACAACATTCGGGAGGAATTGAAAGTGAAGGGTGGTTTGGTGGAAATAATACCCAGGGATGTCGATATGATATGAAGCGCTATGTAGATACGAAATCACGGTCGCTGATCAATACGAAGAATGAACACTATCCAAGCTTTATATCTCATATCCCACTAACGCTGTCAACGCTGCCTAAGAATTGTCAGTTTAGATGCAAGGCCTCCACCAGAGGACGATACACATCTTCCAATCCTATCCTATCATCCTGCTTGTTCGGGTCCCAATATCTGCACATCACCCGTAAGATCGCCAGTTGCCGTAGTCGCAGTTACATGAATGCCAAAACCTTCCCAAGGTCCTTCACCATCGAATAATCCCACCGCCCCTCCACGTTGCCAGTTGCCCATGACTTCCCTGCAATCTGCTGACCACTGGAGGGGTAAGCCGAATCCAGATTTGCCGGCACCGCGCGAGAACCATCTGTACGTTATCGTTCGGATACCGTTGGGTACGCTGAGATTGTAGATGCGGACGCAGAGATTTTGGTTGATGCTGATTGGCGGGCAGGGGGTTTCGAGCCAGTACTGTGTTGAGTCCATTCGTTCCGGGTGGTAGTGTTCGAGTTTGGTTTGGTGGAGGACGATCATTTTGTTGGGTTGGGTGGTGGGGTGCCGTGAGTGCTAGAGGAGACAGACGTTGGGAATGATGAGTTGGATTCTAGTTGGGGAATTTGGACGATTAAATAGTATTAGTTGATCAAATGGCTGTCTACACCAGCGGGCGGATACATAGCTCCTCATGGCCTTATTAGCGACTCGTCGTCTCCCACACCAACAGCAAAAGGCTGTATCAACGATAATTTCAAATCGGAAGCCTTCAGCTGGACCTCTGTAGGTATCAGCCAGCCATCATTCCTGGTTGATCGAACTACGGCGATCAGACATCAACCCTCGTGCTAACCTGAGGGTGTGCGGGCATCAGGTAGCCACAGTATTGCAAGAATGGTATCGCTAGACCAATGTTGGTGACGACAGCCGACAGTGCGGATGATGCCGCTCTAGTGCGACATGGACATTTGTCTAGACCAAGGCACATATTTAGGCGATCGAGTAGGTTTATCACATGTCTTGCTTGTCATTGACATGGGTGGCGACTCCGATGGCGCGCTAATCAGCTGGATTGGATTGTGACTGAATAGTGAAGTTTTTCGGTAGAATGGATGATTGATTCACAGCATCTGAAAGAGTGGAGGACTGTTTCAAAGAAGAACTATTCAAATTGCCTACTTCGCATACTAAACTATATCAGAGAGCGAAGCCAACAATATTGGATACGTATCCGCGCCAGTCTGACTGAAGTACATGTCCTTGTTCTGCTCGTCCTGTTGGAATGAATACCTCAAAGACGCAATGAAACTTCTGCGATCTGCCTCAGACACGAAAGCTGGAAACGTTATTTCCATGCGCAGACCCCAAGCTAGAAGCAATTTTGTCGTTTTACAAATTGGTTCTCGCAAGTACGATGGCGCATCCTCAGACAGCTTACCCAGATCAAGAAAGCTTTGGTTCCACAGTCCTCTTTCCACATCGAGAGCTACGGGAGCTGTGGAACCACCTATGAACCACAGCTGTATGCCGATTATCTTGTATAGGCCCATTGTACTGGAGCTTATGTCGAGTGGCTTTGCTTGGTCGAGGTCTGGATGACCAAGCCCTGCCCACGTTAGAGTATCCACCTCCGCCAAATGAACATCGTGAGGCCCATGTAACTTTTTGGATTGACTGAGCCACGCCGTGTACTGTCGTTCATAGTCGCTAAGGGAATGCTGGGGACGGTAAAAGATATCCTTGGTATCTACTTGTAGGGGCTTTGGTAATGCGACTTGATCTTGGCTCAGAGCAATACAAGGCATGGTGTTACTAACGAAAAGTTAGCCAAGTTTTATAGAAAACACTTGAAGGGCAAGTACAGACCTCTTCTTGTATAACAGTCGGTCGTTTGCAGACTTCATGATATCGAGCTGCTTCAGCATGTCTTCCATTTCCGGTGTTTGCAGAGATTTGTACTCGTCATACCGCTGTTGCTCGATCTCCCATGCATCCAGATACGCTTTGTTGTGACTCAATGCATCCACGAAAGACGTTGCGCCCGTGGGCGTATAGTCGCGCAGGGCGGCTCTCCACGCCACTTCCTTCTTCGCTTCTGCGTCAAATAACGCCTCTCGAGCGTTACGTATATCCGGGGTCTCGGCACCCTGAGTCATTTCAGTAGCTGTCCCTGGTGTTGTATCGGCCTTTAGTGACGAGTCTGACGTACAGCTGTAGCATAACGGAGGTACCTGCGTGATGTGAGTCTCGGCACAGATGGAAGGCGAACGTGAAGCGTTACCTGTAGACAAGCTCAAAGTACGATCGCCCATTAGACGCGGAGTATGACGGGCGATTGATGGTTTGTACTACATCTGACTTGATGAAGATTTGGTAGTTCGTCACTTCTTGAGGTAGCGTCCTTCCTTCCGGGATACCAGGCTGGCCTTGCGCAGCCACAAACATTGCCTGCCCCTCATCTTCGAGGCTGCCAGTCCCTCCGGCCAGGATGGGTAGGAAGGTGTATGATAGTGCCTTCCAAAAGCGCGACGGTTGCACGCTAGGTTTTCGTGGTAAGCCGTCAACAAGTGAGAAGGAGAAGTTATCTTGGAACTCGAAAGCTTGAGTGTCCATGCCTTGAAGCTGAGCTATTCGCTGGTCATTCAGTAAGGGATAGGAAGGAAAATGTTGACGCAGTATCTATGTAGAGCATGCAAGTCAATGCAAGTCATGACTACATCTCGAGGTCACATTTCGAGCTGAGCCTGAATACGGCCTGTGATGCATAGTCGTGCAAAGCGCTGCGTGGGACGAATTCAGAGGACATCGCCAGCTGAGTGACACGAACGACAGGAGAAGCATTAGCAGCGCGGCCGCCGTTCTAGACCAGATGAGGGGTGAGGGTGATGCTCGTCTGCAGTATGTGGCGCAGCTGAAATGGCAATAATTCGAAATCAACAGCCTGCGTTGGTCATTCTCGTGTAGTAGTGTATTTTGCAGGAGGCCTCAAGCTGGAGGGGTTCTCGAGATACTAATGCACTAGTGGGGAAGCTAGTTCCTGCACTCCGCTCATCACATCCGCACCTGCAGTCCGGACGATGATCCGCAAGGCAGGCTTGCTCAGCCTTACCCGCCGAGGAATCGCCTAATGCGTATCCGTCCTGTGCGAAGGTGACATCGTGCAGCACACACGCATTACCCAGCTCAGCCATCTTGCCAGACCAAGCTGATTAGATTACGCACCGTTCCTGGCCATCTCTCAATCTGCATCTTCCAGTGGTTTATAGCTAATTGGAATGAATAGCGGGTATCATTCGGGCGGACCGATGTAAAGCACTACAGACCTGATCTCAGCTATATTCCATCAAAACAAAATGCGCCACAACCTTGGAACTATGGATCGCGAAGCTGTGAAGCATACCTAGGTCACAGCACCGGACTGTAAGTCCACATCACGAGAAAAGAGGGGGCCAATTGCGCGAACACTGGACAGTCTCATCGGTGCTTGCAGCCAGTCGCAATGTTTTCTTTCCCGACTCGTGGATGTTTGCAATAGACAAGTTCTATGCAAATGCTGGGACCGCATGCCAATTCCGGTTCTGACAGTATTTGCAGATTCAAGTCAATGCACTCGTGGCAACTTTTTCTAGAGAGCGCGTCCTTCTGACTTCGCTCAAGCCCAGCTCTCCCACACCATTGCTAATCAAACTCGGACATATGTCACATGTTCGAAGTTTAGGCTCTCGATCTGGCCGGTTGCATGAAGCTATACACCACCGACGCAATCAAACTCAGCCTGTCGAAACGGCGCCTCTCGATGCGACGTCCTATACTCGCTGTACTTACGCGGTGTGACTCTGCGACTTCTCGTAATTGTGGCGCCAACAGATCAGACAGGAGCTGCGTCTTCAGCCAGCCTCTTGACTCCTTTGCGTAATCTGCGGAGGTAGACAGAACAGACCATCGTTACAGCGACCTGAAAATGTATGCACAAAATGGTACTAGTCTACTTTGGCCAACTCTCAAAGGTCAATCACATATATAGTTCCATTGTAATCACAAGAAAACAGCAAAATTACCGAAAGCAAATCATCACTGTACCTTATATCTTACTATACACCCACTTTTCCAAGTCTCTAAATCTTTCTATCAATCATGGCTCAAGACCAGGCCAACAAGTCTTTTTGGCTTGCATACTGCGATGCCATCAAATCTCAACTTGGAGACAAGACCGGCGAGCATACATCCTACTTCTTCAGTACCAGAGCTCAGCGTGGACCACCCGCTGGACCGGCGAGTCTGATCGATCCGATGTACGCCAACATGGGTATCTACGAGATCGGCGACAGTCAACTGTACACCGACAACTTGTTCTACGCCCCTACCAAGTCGAAGTCATACTCTCGTGCGCTCCTGGCATACATGGAACATGTTGACCTTGTAAGTACTGAGATCGCCTGCATTAAAGAGACGAAGACTCACATGAGGAATTAGGGCGAAGCACCCACTTCTACTAACAAGCTGAACTTGGCCACAGCAATGCTCAACCAGACGTCAGCGAAAGAAGCATTTGATGCCGCAACAGAGAAGGCACAAGCAGCGTGGGACAAACTCAAGGAGAAACCAGAGTTCATGGTTCCGGGTGACACATGGTTCACCTGGAAGAGCCGTGAGCAAAAGCAGCTCAACTCGCTAGAGTCGAAGTACAACAGCTCCGTATCTGCTTTCGACTCTGCTACTCGAGATGTCTTCGGTGACATGGCAAACTCGTACATCCAGGACAAGCAGCGAATTCGAGACGCTATATACGGTGTTACACCGTCCCCAGGGTGAGTTGAATAACGTATCAGTAAGACCTTCAGGACCTGACAGCCCATTCAGCTCCAACATGCCCGTTACGACGCTTGGAGCTCAGGATGCCGACGCTATTGTGAGGCAACTTGAGAAGGACGGCGTCGTGGCACCACCCAAACATGACTACTACGTCCCACTGTACTCCGCCCCAGAGTACGCCGGGCAAGTGGCAGATTGGTTGAGCATGGCGAAGAAGGAGAACAAGCCGCGCGGTGAAGCAACTATCGACGTCAACAAAGGCAGCAAGGTGGACGAGAAGAGCTTCACGCATACCAGTGGAGGCGGTGGCGTGTCAGTTGACTACGTTCCCTGGATCTCACTGGGTGTCAACGCCAGCGTGGACAATAAAGAGAGCTCCATGTTCACTCACGAGGACCAACTCAAGACTACCCTCACTATGTCTTGGGACGACCAGTTCCGAGCGATCAACGTTAACTCTGGTTCATGGTGCGTGTATCCCATTGCCTCCGTTTCCTTTCAGCACATTACCTAGACAGCTACTTACCAGATACAGGGACATCCGAGGCAAAGATGCCTACAAGCTCAAGAGCGGCGCCCCGGAGGAAGTCAAGGGCCTGGCTCGCGTCGTACAGTTCGTCATCGTCTCGAACCTCGCCTTCGAAGTTCAGTTCTCCGGCAACACGATCAAGGAGTTTGACAAGCAGGTCTCAAGCGCTGCATCCGGTGGCGGAAGTATTCGTCTCTTCGGCATCCCCATTGGCATCAATGCGCATGGATCGAAGGATAAGAGTGACACTACACACAGGGCCGATTGGGACTCCGCCTCGGGAAAGCTTTCTATCAAGCCTACACCCGACGGAGGCTTCGCTAGCATCATTGCAGTGATTGGAGAGAAGGTTTGATGAGTGAATGCGGTGGTTGGAAGCTGAGTGGAGAAGGGACGGAGGGGATCATCGGGGCGGCAGGTGCTTCTTTTGCCATGTATTCAGATTTGCTCCCAGAAACTTGCCTGTCATTACCGGTAATGCAATGTTGTTTATTCCGCACTCAGCTAGACGATGCGAAGCCGCGTGTGTACCAATGCACATGCTCCGATGAAGGAACGCAAACAGGTCGTCCTTTGCCCAAGCTTCCTTGCACGCCAAGCACACTAATCCCAAATCATACAAGCGCCACGTGCTAAAGCCGCATTCATCAACCAATCACTCCAACCATCCTCAAGCACCTCCACATCTTCACATCAGCTTTCGTTCCCTTCCAAGCACTCTGCATTCGCACGAACCTAGGTCAATCCTCAGTGTAAAAGAGTTGGAAGTCAAAGTCAAGAGCTGGGAACCACAGGTCAAAATGAATCAAAACTTCCAGGGTGCGCCCGATCGGGAGGACATCAGGCTGTTGGACCAGCTGCGCAGTCAATTGATGCCGATGATCAAGGGTATGGAACGGTTGCAGGCCGAGATGCAGTACAAGATGAGTCGGGGCGAGGTTGTAGATTGGTAAGTGAGCGGCTGATAGTGAGTTCACGTTGGGATGCGGGTGTGTTTGTCTACAGCTTTGTCTCGTGACGCGTCTTCTGGTGTCATCTTTTCGCGTCTCATACCTGTCGTACGCGCGATAAGATATCTCCGTTTATTGTGTTCCTATCAGCCTTGAAGTGCGGAACTTGTACTATCACCGTACCCAGCGGGTCAACGTGCTGACGAGAAACCAGGCCCCAAATCCAGCAAACAACCAGGACAGTAACATCCTACCTCAACTCAATCCATCTCCTCATAAACGGCGGCTACCGCCACCAATCCAAGCTCGTCACGCAAAAACATCACATTCCATCCAAAGATGCCGCCGGCAACCCCATGGTCGACAGCGCGGGCAATGCAGTCCTCGTTGAGCGAGACGTGCGACGGAGAATGACCAGCATACAAGCTCTACCAACCAACACCGCAAAATTCGAAGCTCTCCATCCATTTCCCAACCCTTCTTTCCCGATGAATGCCGGAGGCGGTATGGCAGCAGGAATGGCAGGCACGTTGCTACGAAAGAGGCTAGAGCCCATGGAGGAAAGCTGGGTCGAGGAGCGAGTCGGAAAAGCATCAGAGTGGTGTTTTGTGCCCGAAGAATGGGGTATCGCGCCCCGCAAGCCAGACGCAACTACCACAGCCGCCACAGAAGAGGAAGACGACGAAGACGCCGTGCCCGAGTCGGAACGACTAGACTCTGAAGCCATCCCTACTACCCGCGTCAAAAACGTGCTTTCCGCGGATGAGATTGTAGATCTCTGGAAACATGCGCATCAAGAGGTTTTCGACATCAAGTATCTCAGGCAGAAGTATCCGGCTAGTTACCCTGATCCTGGCGCGCAGGGTGCGGATGACGGTGAGGAAGAAGGCGAGGAAGGGGACGAGGACGAAGAAGAGGAGGAAGAGGAATTTGAAGATGTCATGGATACGTCTGGGGGAGCGGAAACGGAAGAGAAGGATGCTGCGAAACCGAAGGTGGTGAAGAAGAAGGTTACGGTAGGGAAGTTTCCGGTACATGAACCTGTGGATGGGGTACCGGTGCTTTCGCTTGGGTTTGCGCATAAGTTTGCGGAGATTGGTGAGGTGTAGAGGCACGATGAGGGGTACAGCAGTTTTGATACCAAGGATTGAGATGAGTGTAAGCATGGTAATAGCGTTCATTCTAATAAAGACGCCTGGGGTATCATGATTCCTGCGCCTGACACCCTAGCCCACTAACAGAAGGACTGTGCATACATCTACTCAGGTCTGAGCGCATACATCCTGACCGGGAACAACTCCCTTGGCATCCCTCTTTGTTGC